TTGTGTGCCATTGAGTCAAATCCAATTCACAGAGACCCTACATGACAAAGTAGAACTGCTCTATAGGGTTTCCAAAGCTGTAATCTTTACAGAGCAGGTGACCCAGTCTTCTCTCCTGTGAAACTACTAGATGGGTTTAGAACCACTGGCCTTTCAAACAGCAGCCAAGCACTTAACCACTGTGCCACCAAGGCTCCTTATGTATATGAGAGACTTTAGTTAGTAATAACATACTGTGGTGGTTAAGTTTGTGTGTCAACTTGCCTGGGCCTGGTTGAATGGCTGGGCAGCTGAATGTAGTTATTCCCATGTAATTAACTCCATGGTGGAATCTACTGGAACAGCTGAGTAGCTGCTTTAGGGATGTGGTCTGCTTCTAGTATATAAGAAAAAACTTTGAGGACAGTCTCCAGCTTTTTGGCACGCTTGAACCCTGCATGTATCCAGTCGCTGTTCAGCAGTCTCCCGTGCTCTACTGATCTTGGGACTTCTACTGCATGTTGTTTGGCGATATCAGGACTGTGCCTTTTCACTTGTGGACTTTGATTCTGTCAGCCTCAGCAGCCAGCAACCGTCTGAACGAAGAAAAGCCTCCAGCTTCAGTGGGCTAGGAATAAGAGGCAGAGCTGAAGCCCAAGGTCGAGGGGCTTTCACCCAGCCCCTAGAGCCTGGCGCTTTGAACTCAGACTTCTAGCCTCCCGAACTGTAAGAGAATAAACTCCTGTTTTTTCAAGCCATGCCATTTGTGGTATATTCCTCTCAGAATGGCACTAGGTAACCAAAACATATACTAATATTGACTTATCAATTTTAACAAATTTACCACTCCAAAATGCAAGATATTAATAATGGGGGAAACTGGGAAGTTAGAAGGAGTATATGGGAACTGTGTACTTTCTGCTCATTTTTTTTCTGCAAACATAAAACTGCTACAAAAAATGAAGTCTATTAACTAAAAATTAAAAAAGAATAACCACAATGAGATATGACACAATTATCAAAAAGACTAAAATTAAAAATAATGGCAAACGCCAATAACTGGATAATACTCAAAGGTTGCTGGTCAGAATATAAAATGGTACAGCCACTCTAGAGAAGTTTGTCAGTTTTTTATAAAAATAAACATGCAGCACATCAACAGATGAATGGATAAGCAAAATGTCACACATACATACAATGGAATACTACTCAGCCAGAAATAAAATTGATTGGATGGGGCTTGAAGACATGCTGAGTGAAATAAGTCAATCACAAACGTAGAAATATTTTATGAACTCAGTTATCTAAAAAGACAAGAATAGGCAAATGTGTAAAGACAGAAGTTTACCAGTGGTTACCAGGAGTAGGAGGGAGGGGGAAAGAAAGAGCTACTGCTTATGGAGCACTGAAGTTTGGTTTACCATGATGGAAAGATCGCATTGATAGATCGCACAGCCAATTACTGTAATTGCTGTCAATATGTTGTACACCTGTAAAAAGTTGATGTAGCAAAAGTTGTGTGAAATACACATTTACAACAATGACAATAATAACAAAGAACACCTGCTGAGGCTGCTTATGTACAACCAAATACCTTCTGGGATTTGGTTCCTTGGTTTAGAGGTTTAGGGCATGGTTTCATGGGACCTCCTAGTTAATGGGCCTAATATCACTTTTAGTGCTTCTATTCTACTTCCTAGTTAACTGCATAATGCTTGGGGTCTTGAAAGCATGCAAGTGGTCATCCAAGATACCACTATTGGTTTCTATTCACCTGAAGCTACAGAAGAAGGAGAGTCAGAAGGTGGAGGAAATGGAATGTATGGTGAATTGTCTCCATGAACAACTGTCTCCTTTGCCAAGAGACCAGAAGAAAAGGATGGTGCCCACTTACCATTACTAAGTGTTTTGATCAAAGATTCTATAGAGGAATCCTGATCAAAAGGGGGGAAATGCAGAAGAAAATTTCAAACTCTCACACACTATAGACTTTCTAGAGCCACAGAGGCTAGATAAACTCCTGAAACTACTGCCATGATAATCTTTAAACCTTAAACCAAAAATATTCCCCAAAGTCTTCTTAAAACCAATTCTCTAACTAATAAAGAATGTCTGTCTCAAGCATTGTGCTCTTTTAAGAACTATTTGGGATTAAATTGACAACAGTAACTGGAAAGTTTAGATAGGAAACTTTGGGAGCAATGAGTTTGTATTAAAACGAAGGAGGACAATTCAGAAAAGGAGAGTGAGAATGGTTGCCCAACTTGGAAACTGTAACCACTGTCACTGACTTGTACATATAGAATTGTTGAATTGCTGTACGTTATGCTGTGTATATTCTCAACAACAAAAGTAAATTAAAATTTAAAAATAAATATAGCATTTGACTGCTAACTAGAAGGCTGGCGGTTCAAACCCACCAGCCACTCCTCAGAAGGAAGACTGGGAAATCTACTTCTACAGAGATACTGCCTCAAAACCCAAGGAGCGGTCGCAATGAGTTGAAATCAACTTGATGGCGTGAGTTTGGTTTTTTGTTTGTTTGTTTGTTTACTATCATGCCATACGCAGACATAACCTTGCTTGCTATAAGTGAAGATGACTTAAAGCACTAACTGATGAAGATCAAAGACTACAGCCCTCAGTATGGATTACACTTCATAAAGAAAACAAAAATCCTCATAACCGGACCAAAAGCAATATCATGATAAACAGAGAAAAGATTGCATTTCATTTTATTTGGATCTACAATCAATGCCATGGAAGTAGCATTCAAGCAATTAGAGGCACTATTGCACTGGGCAAATCTGCTGCAAAAGACTCATTAAAGTTTTAAAGAGCAAAGATATCATTTTTGAAGACTAAGTTGTGTCTGACCCAAGCCATAGTATTTTCAATTGCCTCATATGCATATGGGAGCTCTGATAGCATAGTGCCTAAGGCACTTGACTGCTAACCAAAAGGTTGGCAAAGGACTGGGCAGCATTTTGTTCTGTTGTACACATTGTCGCTTAAGTAAGAGCCAATTGGACACCACCTAACAACAACCATACAATCCAGCGATTGCACTTCTGTGCATTTATCCTAGAGAAATGAAGACTAACATTCAAATACCTATATATGAATGCTTATAGCAACTTTATTCATAAAGCCCCAAAGTGGCGTTGACAGTTAAACGTTGTTGTTGTTATGTGCCATTGAGTCAGACCTGACTCATAGCGACTCCTCTTGGGTTTCCAAGGCAGTATCACTACGGAGGAGTGGCTGGTGGGTTTGAACTGCCAGCCTTCTGGTTAGCAGTCAAGTCCTTAGGCACTACTACCAGAGCTCCTGACAGTTAAATATACCATGTAAATACTTGTTGTGTGCCTTCGATTGATTCCAACTCATAGTAAACCTATAGGACTGGTCCAGAGGGTTTCCCAGGCTGCAAATCTTTACAGAAGCAGTCTGCCATGTCTTTCTTCCTTAGAGTGCTTTGTGGGTTCAAACCTCAGACCTTTCAGATGGTCAGCAGCTGAGTGCTTAACCACTGTGCCACTACAGTTCCTTATGGAAATACCAGTCACCTATAAAAAAGTATAAACTATTGATGTAGTATATTATGATGTATGAGAAAAGCCATTCGTAAGCACATGATGTATGTAACATCAAAACCGAAAAACCAAACTCACTGCCATCTAGTGGATTATGATTTATAGCCACCCCCACTGGTTTTCCAAGGCTATAAATCTTCAGGAAGCAGACTGCCTCATCTTTCTTCCTTAGAGCAGCTGGTGGGTTCAACTTCTTGGTTAGCAGCTATATGCCTTAACCACTACACCACCAGAAAAAAAAAATACTAACTGCCATCGAGTCAACTCCAACTCATAGCCCCTTTGGGTTTCCCAGGCAGTAAATCTTTCCCGAAGTAGATTGCACAGTCTTCCCAGTGGCTGGTGGGTTTAAACTGCCAACTTTCTGATTAGCAGTCAAATGCTTTAGGCATTTGGCCACCAGAGCTCCTGTCCTTGTATATAACACAGAAGGACTTAAAATGAAAAACAACAGTCCTCTGACCCATTACTTCCTAACCCCTCCCCCACTCTCCAGAAACAATTCCTTTGAACTCTTTTGGCCTTTTCTTCTGGTGCTCTCCATATTTCAATACAAGTGCATATACCTACCACTTTTCATCCAAACTTATTGCCTTCTTACTAGAGTATGAGAATTTAATTCACTTACTCCAGGCCACCTCTTCCCAATTTTAATCAATAAGAAGGAGTAGGGAGATGGTTGTGTGCTGGAACACTACCCCCCCCCCCCATGAATCCCAGGTCTCAGCAGTAATTACTGAGCGCTTACTGTGTGGGCAACATAACTTTGGATGTATGGACTCATTAATTACAAGCTTGGCTTACAGTAACTAATAATAAGACAGGAAAACAAAGACAATGCTCGGCCTTCCCCATCCAAAACCATTAAGCATACCAAACACAACTCAACCCACTGCGGTCTAGTCCATTCTGACTCGTTTTCAAAACTCTAAATCTTTACTGATGCCGACTGCCTAATCTTTCTCCCGCGGAGCGGCTGGTGGGTTCAAACAGCCTGCGCCACCAGGGCTCCTTCATTAAGCGTAAGTATCGGTAAAAATGTCTAGCTTCCAGGCACTGAAATAGCAACCTTCTCCTTTAATTCTCCACGAGGGAAGGTGGGGCCTTGCCCACTCACAGTTAAAAGAACCTTCAGTCTGGCCGCCCTACCCAGCCAGAAGCGCTGGGTGAGCCAAAGCCACATGATGGCGACGGAGGGAACTCTGGCTTTTCCGAAACACTCTCTATGGTATTCACCCCGGTCCACCCGCCCCTTGGGTAACTATAGTCACGTGACAGGCTCAGGGATTAGGCAGGTGCTCACGTGATCTTGGCCTGCAGTTGGGTGGCTGCTGTAAGGTACTTGGGCTCCTGAAGGACCAGCAGTTAAGGTGTAATCACTGCCGCCAATTAACTTCTGGGCAGCCAGGCTCAGGAGCAACGAGCCAGCCGAGACGTTCACCGCTTGGTGCCAACGGCGCGGGTCTGTTCTTTCTGCCACCTCCGCCTTCGCGGTCCTTACCCCTTAGCGGGTGAAGTCCCCTTTGGGTTTTGAGACTTTGAGGCCTGAGGCCCAAACTCCTGACGACCCCTCCCTCCTATCCTCTCATCCTCCATCTCTTTTCCTTTCCACCACCGGACCATTTGGCCGTCCCGCTGTGCTTTGAGGCTAAGTTTGGGGCGGTAAAGGTTACATTACCTGGGGGAGAGCGGCCCCCCTGTGGACAAAGGCCAAGGCAAGAAAAGAGCTGGCCTAAGGCCGCTGGCGATGAGAATTGGCGTCTGAGAAGGGTGAATAAGAGAAGGAAAAAAAAAAGTACATCGGATACAGGATATAGAAGGAACTGAAAAGGACTTGTTGCACGATGGAAGAATCTGACTCTGAGAAAAAGATGGAAAAAGAGAATCTGGGGCCAAGAATGGATCCTCCAGTGGGGGAACCTGAGGGATCTCTTGGGTGGGTGAAGGCTATTTATACCAAATCTGGAAGGAGGGAGGTGTTTTAATTGAGGAGAGTGTTGTGAATTAGACCCCAATGATAAAATGCTTCTATTTACAAGTAAGACTGACTGATATCATGATCTTTACATTAGACAAGCTATAAGAAGCACTAATACTAAGTGGGCAGAAACAACTTTCCTGAAGGAGGTAGTATCATTCTGGGAGGTGAGGGTGTTGTGACTGAAGAGGCAATTCTGAGTTGCTTTGAATTATCAATAAAGGAGGTCTGACATCACCATTTTGGGGATAGAAAACCTAGGAAGAAGTGGTGCTTCCTGGGCAGAAACCAGGAATTGAGATTGTTTTCTGTGCCAGTTTGAATTTGAGACTTGTGCTTTATGTATTTTATGCTTGTGATGAGTGAAATATGACTTGAAAGGACAGCTGAAGAACTTAAGATATTTCTACATTTTAAAAATAGGCTGACTTAAAAAAGAGGATCTTCAAATATGAAAATATTGTTTGATTTACTTATTCTTTTTAAATAATGAAAAATTGAATCTTTAATTGTAATGGCTTATTTATAATCTAAATAAATCTTCCTAGAAACTATCTACTGTAAAAGTACTTATAGTCTAGGTAGCATAAACCCAGTTTTGTAATTTAGGAAAATGAAAGACTCTGCTCAACCAAGTTCCCACAAACACTGCTCTACTTGACTGTTGTGCAAAACATGCTCTTTTGTACTTCAACATCTATTTGTATTTCTTTCATTCTAATTTCTAAGTAATTGGATCATGGAAACTGTATTTTGGTTTATATCTACAGGTGGGTGCTACCAAATACAACCATGAAGAAAAAGGTAAGACTTGTGTTAGATACACCAAAACCATGAAGGTAAAGGTAAGATGCTATTCAGGGGCTGTTTGTGATGTCTGTACCAAGTCTTCTATGTGGTCTCCCTGACTAGCCCCCTTTTTGCTCTCAGATCTGATTTTTATAATATATAAATCTGAATGAGTCATTCATATAGTTCATATGTAAGAAATTTTTGTAACTTCTCCAAGTCCATGGAATGTAAGTCCAACTGACTGCATGGCCTGTGAAGCCCTTTAAAAATCTGTTCCTGAATAAACCATCTACCACATCTATGCACCCTCTCAATACCATAAGAAATTTATTCTTCTCCAAATTTATAAATTAATTGCATTTTGTGCATGACACACACACACGTACACATACTACACTATACTGACTGCATATTATTTTGAACCAACTCAAATATTACCACTGTAAGGTCTTACACACAAGCTCTCCAGATGCAACTGAACACGCCTTCCTTTGTGTTTTATGGTACTGTGCCCCATGTTGGGGTTTAGGCAGAATTGCTAAGAGTGCAGCCCTAAAACACATTTCTTAACCTCTTGGGGCTTTTTCTTCTTAATTTTTAAAATGATGATAATAATATTACCTATCTCATAGGGTTTTTGTGAAGTTTAAATGAGTAAATTCATGTAGCTCACTTAGATCAGCCCCTGATACAGTTAACCTGGGTAAGTCATAAGCAATTGAGGTAAGTTAAAAAAAAAAAAAATTAAAAAGCAAAGCAAAAGAAATGTACTGTATTTAACCTTAACTTCATCTACTAATTCAATTATATAACCCCATTTAGCTAAAGAAACATTCCTGATAAGCCTGTGTAAAGTTGCTATTAACAAGGATACCAAAAAATAATCAGAAATTCTCTAAGAACAGAAGGAAAACTTTTTCTGTAGTAACCTTCGAAGGGCTTGTTAGTAGCATTTTCTTAGTGAGGTAAAGTTATAAATGCTAGCTTAAATTGAGCCTGATTGCAGTAGATTTTCTCTGTACATTAACAAAAATTTTATAAAATATATTGGGATTGAAGGTAGTATATGTATCCCCTTGATTTAAAAAAGCAAGGTAAATGGAACTGTATTTCATAAGCTCCAGATTTGAAATAGACTCTTAAAAGTCACCTTACCTATTCCCCCCTAATGTAAGAATCTACAGCAATTCTGACAGTTTTTTTTTTTCCTGTCTTTATTAAATGCTGCCATTGACAAGAAGGCTGCTTACCTTCATAAGGCCACTGTTTTCTTTGGACAGTTCTCATTGTTAAAAACTCACTTTTTTAATATCATTATTTTTGTAGCTTGCTCATTCTTTTGATAAACATATATTGAGCATCTTTTGTATGTTAGGCATTGGCAATACAAAAGAGTACTCTCCATACCCTTCCAGGAGCTTAGTTGTGTGAGAGACTGTTGCAAAAACAAAAAGGGGTAACTGCAATGCAGTGATCTTTATAATGACACAAGTATGCACAGAGTGCCATGGGAGGACAGAGCTGGGATACTTAAGCCAACAATGGGGTTAGAGATGCTTCTTGAGGAGATGATTATTGAATTGAGTCTTGAAGGATGAGTGGAAAAATAAGGAATGGAAAATTACTGGCAGAGAGTACATCATGAAACAAAAGCATAGAGCAAGATATACCTTGGGCCCAGAGAGCTGAGAGTAATCACAGGGACTAAAAGCAGTTCAGTTCAATGTGACTCAAAATTCCAGTCCAGGAGTGTGCAGAAGATGAGGGCAGAGAAGTAGATAGGTTAGATCAAAGAGATTCTTGTACATAGTTTAAGGACTTGATCTGTTAGGCCATGGGTAGTTTTTGAAGATAAAAAGTAGATACACTAATTTATGGAGCAAGATTATGGAGATAAGGGATGAGGTCAAGGGCAGAGATAGAAACCTTGACTTTGAAGGAGAAGGAAGAACTTTCAGTTACATTGAAATTCCCTGCTAAGTAGTTGAGTGCATAAAACATTATGACAGATCAAGGTTCAAATTCCTCTCAAGGTTGTAGTTCTCTAACCTAGTTATAAATATACTAATACATAATGATTTACTATGACCCTAATCTCAACAGAATGTATAACCCTGAGAGATAAGTGCTTAGCCCCTGGAATTCTAGATATTTCTGCATTGCTGGGGAACAGTTTAACTAGTTAACAAATACCTGCATCAGGTTGTCAATACTTCAGTAAAACATCAATACAGGAGAGAAATAGGTTCCTTTAGACTTGATTTGCTCTAGATGGCTAACTTGTTCTCTTTCTTTTTCTCTACTTTGTCCTTAGGTGCTGTTGATGGGTAAAAGTGGGTCTGGTAAGACCAGCATGAGGTCTATTATCTTTGCAAATTATATTGCCAGAGACACACGTCGCCTGGGTGCAACAAGTAAGATGTTTTATCTTATTGTAAAGTCAGGTGATCTTAAGTATTAATCATTTGCATAACCCACTTGGTTGCAGTAGCTTGGGTACTGCAAGTGAGGGATTTGTTTTAAAGCATGGTTCCCATTTTTGCATCCCTCTTCAGGGGTGTGTGTCCTAATTCTGGTTACTACTACTCACTCTCTTGGGGAGGTTTCTAAGCTGCTTATGAAGTGGGATGCCATTGCCCAATTTCAACTCTATTCTGCTACATTTTAAACATGTGTAGGAACCCTTTTCTTTGTTTCTTTTGGGGATATGGTGTTTGTTTTTAACTGTTATTATATAAAGGGAAATAGGTAAGTATTAATAAGCATAACAGTAAAATTTCTTAATATTTTTTAAAAGCAGTTGTTAGTCTTAAACCAAACCCGTTGCTGTGAAGTCAGTTCCTAGTCATATCGACCCTGTAGGGTAAGGCTGTAAATCTTTATAGAAGCAGACTGCCTCATCTTTCTTCCATGGAGTATCTGGTGGGTTCGAACCACTGACATTTTGGTTAACAGCCAAATGCCTTTAACCACTACACTACTAGAGCTCCTTAGTTAATCCTAGTCTTCATTAAAAGGAAAAGTGGAGTGGAGATAGTGCTAGTAGTTAACCTACTCTGCTCTGGTACTTTTCTTGAATACCCTTAGATGTTTTCTTTGGAGTTCCTATCCTGTCTTTAGAAATGTGTTATTGCCCATTATGGTTTGAGAGTTAATTCTGGCTTCTTTCTTAGTCTACAGTAATTGGGCTGCTTAATGGACGGTCCTGAGAGAACCCCTATGTTTCTGAACCATAATGCCATGTCATTCTGCACACCCAAGCATTTCTGGATACTGCCTTTGTTCTTGGCCTCTAGATGAGGAAAGCATTGCCATACTTGGCCTTCAGTGATTATGACCTGGATTTCTAGCATCTTGACTGCTTGCAAGTCACCCACTGCTTCATGAGGCATCTCACTCTGGTGTCAAGAACAATAGTGGGACTCTTACATCTCTTATTATGGGCATTACATCCAGTGAATTGTTCTGCAATCAAAATTTCATAACTATTCAACTTGATTAAAATAATTTTGAAATAATCTGGCAGCGTTATTGAAGTTTGAACAGGATGTTGCAAATTATATTTTGCAAATACTTTTTGTAAATATTTTTCAGACTCTAGGATGCAAATGAAAAAAAAAAAAAACTTCATCTCTGTTCTCAGTATGTTTGGAGTGTATTGTTGACTCTGATAATCGGGGCAGCTTTAATTATTAGAAAGCTATTTCTTAGAAAGAGCCCCAGATCTAATTCCTTTTATTTCTTTTAGCTTATTCTCTTAAGACTCTGCAGATATTTGAGAATTGTTAATGTCTCAATCTGTTCCTTGTCTTCCAAACCTTGTCTTCTTAAAGTTAAACATCCCCAGTTCCTCCAACTATTCCTCATGTGATAAAGTGCTAAGACTTTATCAGATACAGTCTAATCAGGGCAGAGTGGAACTACTACATCTCTTGTTCTGGGAATTACATCTCTGTTAATGAAGTCTGCTCCCTTCCTCCCTCTTTTTTTGGAGTTGCTCTCATTATACTGAACTGTGTTTTAAAACCTCAATTTCCTGTTTACATATACACATACCCTTCTGGTTCTTGTGTAGTTAATATTTTGAACCTAAGAATAAACTTTTATCTCTCTTAAAATTGGGAGCTCTGGTAGCATAGTGGCTAAGACACTTGCCTGCTAACCAGACGGCTGGCGGTTCAAACCCACCAGCCACTCCTCGGAAGGAAGGTTGGGCAATCCTACTTCCGTAGTGATACTGCCTCGGAAACCCAAGGAGGGGTCGCTATGAGTCGGGGCCGACTCGACGGCACATAACAACAACAACAACAACTCTCTTAAAATTATTCAGCTTTATTTGTCTTAGCCCATGATATGCTTCTATACCCTGCATTTGTTAACTGTGAAATCCAAGACAAGTTATTTTCTCTCTCTGGGCCTCAGTTTCCTTATTTTTAGAAAAGGGGTTGAATCCCTCTTAATGCTAACATTTTATCATCTTATTTTCATTTCTGCTACTTTTTATCACCTCTGAAATATTCCTTCCTAGCTTCTTGTACTTTGTACATTTGGTAAGTATCTTCTCTAGTTTCCACTAAGTCACTGATTAAAAATTTTGGTCAGAACAGGGTCCTATGGCTTGTCATATCTCTAAAGACTTCTACTTGACATCTCTGGCTCTGGTCTTTGTCAAGTCTGCCTGTCCAAACATCTCCCTGCTTGATTTTCTAGATTTAAAAACTTTTCTGTTCTTCCAAGTTAAGTATCTGAGGCAAGTAACCATGTGATTTCACTGGATAGAAGAAGCTAATGTGTATTGAACAACTGCCATTTGCTAAGCTTTTATACGCTGTGTTATTTACTTTGTTCCTCATATTAACTCCATTTTAATAGATGAAGAAGGTATGGCTTAGAAATTAAGCTCACTTAGCTAGTAAGTGTTAGTGCTGGAATGTAAATCTATGCTCATGTTCTATTCATTTTGCTATAGCCTATAGCCTATAGCCTGTCTGCCTTACTGTATTCTAATAATTCCTGACAGACTTCTTCCTTTTTCTGTTTTAAATTTTGCACACTTTGTCAAAGCACCTGTATCCTAGTCCAGTTAATATTTCTGTTTTTAGATGATTAGCAGAATAATTAGCCTGAGTCTGGTGAATAATCCTGCAACAAAAATTTCATAACGATTCAACTTTCTTAAAATAGTTTTGAAATAACCTAACAGCACTATCAATGTTTGAACATAATATTGCAAATTATATGAACCTTTTAAGGCAGGCCATATATTCAGGTATTTGTTGGAACTTCCTGTGTCCCAGGCACTGTGAATGTGACAGCCTCCCCTTGATGATATCTCAAACAGAACCTTTATTAATAATACTTTGTTAGTAAATACTATGTCTCCTTAAAGGCAGTAAAAATATACTTACAAACAGTATGCTAGCCTTAATTTTGTAGTGTATCATTAGCTAATTTGTCATTGCTGAAGAGAGATCTGGGTTCTATTGCTAAACATATAGACTAGTTCAAAATATGTATAGTGAATTGATTTTTACTTCATATTGCTCTATATGCAATTTCTGATTTTCTTTAAAAGTAGTAAAAGGGTACTTCTTTTAAAATACTACATTGACCTTAATGTTTTAGTGTTTTATAGTTTGTCACTACTGAAAAAGTCTAGAAAAAGTCTAGTTTTATTTTGTTATACTTAGAGCCTACTGTGTTTTGAACTTTGACATAAAGATACAGAATGGTGGTGTTATTAATTTATTAGGGAACTGTTAAAATGCATTTATTGGAATAGTAAACTTGCCAATAAAAATGTGATTATGAAGTATTTTAGTCTGAAACACTGTTGACGTCTCTAAGTTTCCCTACCTTCTCAAAATTCTCTGTTCCCTTGGCTTTTATTTAATGCTTTACTACTCTGGTTTTCTTCCTTCATCTTTATTCATCTCTCTCCTTAAAATAAAACTTTACCAGAGTGTTTTCTTCTTTCTGCCCCATAAGTGTATGTGATTCCCCAAAGTTTTATTCTTGATTTTCTTCAGTTGCCCTTATGACAACAGGACAGGAAGAGTAAAGAGCCAGACACCATACAGGAGACATGAGACTAAAGAGGGAAGCAGGAAGTAGAGGCTAGATCATAAAGTGCCTTATAAATTACATCAAGTAGTTTGAACTGAGTGTAGAGAGCAGCCCTTAGAGGATTTTAAAAAGGAGTATTTTTAAATATGGAGGTTTGTGTTTTATTATATTCCATTTTAATTATGAGAGTAATACTTGTGAAAATGCAAATGCTAGAGAAGTATAGGAGCTCTGGTAGTGTAGTGCCTAAGGCACTTAACTGCTAACCAGAAGGCTGGTGGTTCAAACCCACCAGCCACGTCTCGGAAGGAAGGTTGGGCAATCTATTTCCGTAGTGCTACCGCCCCGGAAACCCAAGGAGGGGTCACTATGAGTCGGGTCCGACTCAAGGGCACATAACAACAACAACAACAACCCCCATTCTCAGGCCTACATCCTAAGAACAAACACCATTGGTAGTTTTGTGACTATCCTGGCTTTTTTACTTTCTGGGAATATGCAATCATTCATATACAGAGATGCATATTATTTTTTTCTCTCTTTAAATATGAATGGAATGAAAATACATGTTTTGGAGATAGCTCTTTATCTGTAATATAGAGAATAGATTGGAAGGAGGCAAGGGTAGAAACAGGTGGACCAATTAAGTAGACTGTTTTAGCATACCATGTAAGAGATGATGGGGTCTTAGCTTGGGTTAGAGTGGTGGTAATGGATATGCTGAAAAGTAAATGATTTGGCATATATTTTAGAGATAGAAACAACAGGACTTGCTGATAGATTTACGGGGAGGATGGTGAGGGAGAGTAGACTCAAGGATGAATCTAAGGTTTTGACTTAGGCAACTGGTTAAATTCACTGTGATGGAGAAGACTGAAAGAGGAATAGATTTATGGGAAGAATGGGGAGTAGATGAGTTATATTTGGGTATACTAAGTTTAAAACCTGTAGTTCATCCAAGTGGCCATTTCCAATATATGAGTCAAAAAGGAGAGAAATCTGTACTGGAGATACATATTTGTGAATTATCAGTATCCAAATGATAAGTAAAGTATGTGTAGATTAGCTTACTCAGGGGAAGAGGACAAAAAGATAAGAGAAGGTGGCTAAACGTGGAATCCACAAGAACTCAAACATTTTAAGGGACAGAAAGAAGAATAGGAGCCTGTGAAGGAGATCTGCCTGAAAGGGCATAGGTATGATATCAGAGGCCAAGAGAAGAGAATTTTTTGAGAAATAGAGAGTAGTCAACAGTGTCATACTGGAGAAAGTAAGGCAAGGACTGAAAAGTCCACTGGATTTGATAATGGGGCTTTTGGTCACTTGATGAGAAGCAGATTTCTATCTCATGTGCCCCATTTCTAAATAGTCACTGAATCCTATCACTTCTTTTGTTATTGTCTTTCCCTTTCTCAGTAGCACTTCTTTCCATTTTTTTTTTTTTAGTACTAGACCGTTTACATAGTCTTCAAATTAATAGCAGTTTGAGCACCTACTCTCTCGTAGACTCTGTTGGAAATACAAAGACATGTAAGATATGATTCCTTTTCCAAGGAGGGGAAGTAAAGGGGAGAAGGGAAGTAGTTTGAGCACCTACTTCATGCCAGGCACTTTATGTATGATAATTAATTTAGTCCTCATAGCAATACCATGAGATCAATAGTGCACCCTCCTTTGTTTGATGGAAGAGGAAATACTCAGAGGTTAAGTTATCTGCCCAGTGTCACACAAAGAAGTAGAGCTGGGATTTGAACTAAGGTCTCTGATACCAATGCCCATACTTTAAAAAAAAAAAAAACAAACCTCTGCATTGCTGCTTATCTAGCTTATGAGAAGAGTTACGCACAAAATTGCACCAAAGAAAAGTTAGGTAGCAGTCATTTTAAGCAACAGCTTCAAGATGGTCATAGAAGAAGCACCACTATATGGTTGATTATGACATAAATTATATAGATAATAATTTCTATACTTTCAGAAATTTCTAGGCGAAGAATTTTCATTATTCCTCTTTGTTATTTAGTGCCTGGCAGAGAGTAGATGCTTAATAACTGTTTGAATGAATTCAGAGGGAGAGGTGACGGTAAGTGGGGGTGGCCAGGCAGGGATTTTAGAGGAGGTGGGATTTAAGCTGGATCTTAAAAGATGAATATAACTTTAAAAGAAAGATGGGGAGGGCTTTCTAGGCAGATGGCCATAGTAGGCAAAGTGTAGGGGGAGGGAAGCATAAGGCAAAGGTCGCAAACAAGCAGCCTGTGTGCTGGATAAGGCCTGTAGATGTGTTTTATTTGATCCATACAGTGTTTTAGAAAAATTTGGAATAAGTTACCAGTATTTAAAACATTCCATAAAAATACTGATTTCCCATTGCTATTGGAAATATTAAAGGTCTGGTAACCCTGGGCCTATATTCCTGCATGGCAAATGAGCTAGAGTGGAGTAACTGCTACCTGCCCCACTGTCCCCTTGAATGAACGTTTGTTTTCCATACGTGGCCAATATTGCTCATATACATTTACTGGCCTGGCCTCTATTATCAAGTTTGCGACCCCTGATGTAGAGTGTGTTGGGAGCTGGGGAGGTAGTGGGGGTTTGGGAGGACTGTGAATGAACCAAATTGGGCTGGAGTGAAAGGCTTTATTAAGGTGATTCCTTGGAGAATATAAAGGTAGATAAAAGCTAAATTGTGAAGGACCTTGAATGCCCCCTTATAAGCATGGAGGAGCCATTGAAAGTTTGTGGAATGGGGAGTGACATGTTCAAAGTAGTGTTAAGAGGATGAATCTAGCAGTAGCCTAGAGAGTAAAGTAGGTAAGGTTTTAGGTGGGGAGGTCTGTTATGGAGCTGTTTTAGTAATGTAGGCATGAGGGCTGTAATGTTGGTAATGAGATATTAAATAAGGGCTGGATGGAACTGAGGGATATTATAGAGGAATAGTCAGCTGAGTTTAGCAATAAAGTTAATGTAGATAGAGGAGTCAGAAATTACATTAAAATGGGAAAATGGTGAGATGAAATAAGAAATAAGAAAATCACTGAAATAAGAAAATCAGTAGAGGGGTACAGCTTGGTTATGTTTCGTGTTTGTTTTTGTTGTTTAATTTTTTTGTGGGTAAGGTAAGTGGGGGCAAGTGGGACAGGGGATATCTATTAAACGGTAAATATCTCTGTCTTACATGTTGAAATTTTAGCAATAGTAGAATTAATTGGAGATAGTTCGTGCTCTAAGTACTAAACTACTAAAAAGTAAAATGACTTACATGAGAGACAGTTCTATAGCTCAGGGTAGTTTAAGTGCCCACCTTGCCACTAAACCACACTACTAAGCTGAAAATCACCTTCTTGTTGTGGCTTTGAGCATTTCACTCCACTTTGGTCCTTCTGAATTCCATGGGTTAGGGCTTTGCTTATTTTGAATTTCACCTCACATGCTACAATTACTAGATTTGTCATATTTATCTTTCAGTTGATGTTGAACATTCTCATGTTCGGTTTTTGGGAAACCTGGTATTGAACCTATGGGACTGTGGTGGGTAAGTACCATTTACTTACTTGTCTGTGAAGCCAGAGGCAGTAATCATGGCATCTATATAATAATCAACATGGAGAATACACCTAGAGTAACTGTCATCTACAGTAGACACAATGGATTAAAATTACTTCAAATTCAATATTTGATTAAATAAACATCTGACTTTTTATGTAACTGTGAAAATACCCTCTGTATGTGTGTGACATGTTTAAGTGGCACTATCACAAACTCTATCTAGACATCTATAATATGGGGTAGCTTATCTCTCTTGCAGATGAAGAAATGAAGTTTCTTTTAAGTGGCACTATCACAAACTCTATCTAGACATCTATAATATGGGGTAGCTTATCTCTCTTGCAGATGAAGAAATGAAGTTTCTATCTCAGGCAGCCTTGACATTAGTACTGAGCTCTTAGCCATCATACCATACTGACTTGTTCTTAATTATTTCACTAATTATCTTCAAGCAGTCTAGCACTGTAGATTAGATCCTACACATATTCTCCAGGTGAGTCGCCTGCTGTTGGAAGAGTAGGAGACATGTTTTCTTATGAACAAATCATTCACTGAATATCCTATCACAAATACACACTCACTATCCCTGGTGTTCTAATGTAGCTCCATACCCTGTGATCATTCCCATCTCTATGCTGAGGCAACAGTATGTGGTACACAGTGGTTAGAGCCTAACGGCTGGAGTTAGATGTGGGTTTACATCCCAGTTCTTTTAGCTGTGTTATCTTGAGTAGATCACTTAAACTTTCTGAGCCACAATTTCTTCACCTATACAATAAGGATAGGAGCTCTCCTCGGAAGGAAGATGGGGCAATCTACTTCCGTAGGGATACTGCCTTGGAAACCCAAGGAGGGGTTGCTATGAATCAGGTCCGACTCCATGGCACATAACAACATAACAACAACAACAGTACCAACTCATAAGAGTGTTTTGCTGGTTAAGTAACATAATGCACACAAAAATGCATAGCAAATTACCTTCAAAATGGATATTATTGTTAGCTTAATGTTTCCCAGCTCTTAGTAGAGTCAGCTGTAGAGTAGGTGAATATTTGTTAAAAGAATACCAAAGTAGCCAAATGATATATAAGAAAATTACTTCAGTACTCCCAACAGATGGATCACTTAACACTCACCCTAGTAAATGTCCATACAAACCCTTTGTCATTATCATTGATTCCAATTTTGTGATCCCTGTCAAGAGACTGTGTGGTCCATGTTCCTTGTTTTTAGACAATAAGATATTATCTCCTTCTCTTTACAGATAAGGCTGCTGAGGTCTAGTGAGATCATGACTCTCCCAAGGCCACACAGCTAATTAATAGCAAAATGCAGGACTAGAAGCTAGGGTTAAGATTTTTTTCACTGTAAAATACTACTGTTTTCTGCTAGTGAGCTGATAATTGAGAACATCTTGAGTAACAGCACACAGCTTAAGGAGCAAAGAGTAACATTCTACTGAAGAGATATCATTAGAATCATTTTCTTATACTTTAGCTTATTTGGCTATCTAGTTATTAATTCTACAAATAGTCACTTAACACCTACTCTAGAAGGTTCTGTGCTAGAAGCTGGGAAACAGTGGGAATAGTAACAGACATGGTCCTTGCCCTCATAGAACTTGCTGTCTAGGGAGTGACTGACATTATTAAAAACTCACATAAACACGTTAATATTATGTAATAACTATGTTTGTGGTATTAAAAAGAAAAGGAATATATTGTCAAAAGTATCTATGGTGAGTGGATTGGACCAAGTTAGGGAAATCATGATGATGAAGTATGTATTGAAATGTAATCTAAAGGGACAAATAGGAGTTAATTAGATGAAGAGGTAGAGGAATAGCATCTCTGACACAGTGAACTGCATGTGTAAAGGCCCATGGGCCAATTGAGGAACATAGAAAATATCAGTGTGTTTGGAAAACATTGAGGAGGACAAAGGGTGGTGGAAGATATGGCTGAAGAGGTAAGAAGATAAAGCCTAGACAAATTTACCAATATCTGCCCTTTAAATTGAAGCCTTAAGATTATCTTTTGCATTGAGTAAGCTACCAAAAATACAGACTAAGCAGGAATGACTAAACTGAGGACTTGTTTACCATCTAGATTTTTTTTTTTCCTACAGGCAAGACACTTTCATGGAAAATTATTTCACTAGCCAGCGGGACAACATCTTCCGAAATGTGGAGGTTCTGATTTATGTCTTTGATGTAGAAAGCCGCGAACTGGAAAAGGACATGCACTATTACCAATCATGCTTGGAAGCCATTCTGCAGAACTCTCCAGATGCCAAAATCTTTTGCTTGGTGCACAAAATGGATCTGGTACAGGAGGATCAACGGGATTTGGTAAGAAACAGAATGGATGCTATACCAAATGGTTGACATGCTTTGCAAACTTCTTTTGTAGAAGTATAGGTTAATTTGTACTATTCTTTTTATAGGAAAAAAGCCTCAGCATAAGCGTTCAAAAAAATATTCTTTTGTTTGTTTTTTAATATTTTATTATATTTTCTGTGAAGGTTTACACAGTAGTTTAGGTTCCCATTCAACAATCTCTGTACAAATTATTCAGTGACATTCATTGTTTACTTCTTTACAACGTGTGGAACATTTTCACTATTTCAGTTCTGGTTGTTCTGTTTGTCGTTTGATTTAAAAAATACTCTTTAATACATTTTCCGTGGTAAAGAAAAGACAGGATTCATGTAGCAAATAATTTTGAGAATTAGGTAATGAAGCTGTCCATGTGATATCACCAAGCAGCCTTTATTTATTTATTTAAATACTAATAACTTTTTTATTGTAGTGAAAATAAACATGAAAAATGTGCCAGTTCAACAATTTCTTTTTAAAAAATAATATTGTGATTTTCGTGGGAGTTTACACAGCAAATTAGGTTTCCATTTAATTTCCACATAAATTAGTCAATGACTTTAGTTACATTTTTCACAATGCATCAACATTCTTTTTAACTGTGTTCTGGTTGTTCCATACCAGTACTTTAGTTCCCTGCCCTCTTCTCATTTTTGCTTTGGATTAAATGTTGACCTTTTAGATTCATACACATGGTCAATTCAGCAATTTGTACATGTGTAATTCAGTGACATTTATTACATTCTTCAAGTTTTCTGACCATTCTTACTGTCCTTTTCTCATAATAACTTTTTTTTTTCATATTGTGATTTGGGTGAAGATTTACAGAGCAAATCCACTTTCCACACAGCATACAGCAGTACACATATACTTTGTCTCATGTCATTGACCACAGTTTACCACAATACAACAGCTCCCCTTCCACTTCCTCCCCATAGTTACCTCTTCCCATTGTCCATCACTCCATACACTCCTGCCCCCTGAGCTGTCTCCCTGTGCATAAGCAACCCTTCTTTCTCCCATGATTATTCTCTCCAAGGAGTTTATCTACTTGAGGTAAATGTTTAACTCATATGCCTGT